CAGATTCTATGTGCTTTTTCACTGACTTCGAAGCTTCTCACCCTTTCCTTGGTTTGATAGGCACAACATAAAAAAAACGACAAGAAAGAGAGACTATAAAATAAAGCAAAAATAAGGTACCGTTACGCTCCGCCTGACATCCGTGGAATAAGGCCTTTATGCATTCTAGGTTTGACTGACGTGAAGGAGATTTGGCAACAGGCTGTTGTGGCTGTTGCGTATCTACATCTGAACAGTTTTTGGTTTGAGCAATGAAAAGGTGGAAGGGCAAATGATCAAGATATTTCGGGAACGTACTCATTTCCTCAACTTTCACGACAGTTGGTTCTGCCTGGTCTGACACAGTAGCGTCCATGATTGCAGAGCCTACTGCATCAACAGAAGCAACTGGAGAAATTTCCATCGCTTCCAAACTACGACTGGTAACGAGTGGTGATGACTGCTTAAAACAATTATAATATGTTCTTTTTAGCTTCGATGAACTGATTCATGCCGAATACGAGTGCAGCAGGCAAGCTTTTCTCTCTCAAATAACAAGATTCTTCAAAATGCGAGCTTCGGTGTCACAGCGTCATGGGATGAGACATTCTGCAGTGTATATCTAAACCTCGTTTTCTAGTTAAGAGCAAAGGGCGAATTTATAGCCTTGTACCCAAGTATCACTACTGCTTGATGCGAGCGTGAGCGCAGATTGCTGGACGTTTCACATATAATACATGGGCGGATGGGTCCGTTAACTGAACCATGAATTTGTGCTCCACAGAATCTCTCCGGAAAAGCCGCCTGTACAGTTCATATGCAAGGAAGGTTCCACTGCGATATTGATGAGACTTGAGAAGAATGCTGAGGCACTAGCCAAGAAATAGCCTACCCTAAGAAATTTCAGAAAATAGCAGCGTTACTTTTGAGTCTATCCAAAAAGGCCCTAACTTCTCCCAGTTCCGCTCGTTTCGGAAGTGGACCCAACATATGATAAAGGATCCCACCAGGAAAGGATGGCTGATTTGAACCAGTACGATAGCTCTACCACTCATGGATACGTCTTCATCAACTCCAACGAAGCTTTTATTTTTGCAATTAACCTTATGTCGCGATTAGAAAAAAATTATTACCTTAACCTCTTCGGCATTTTGTTCCGCATTTTGTTCGGGTTCGGGAGCATTTTGTTGCAACGCCAATCCTTTTTCCATCCATTCCATCAAATTTGACATCATCTCTGACGCATCCTGAGCATGGCAACAGGAATTACAGGCAAATGAAAGGCCACACATTACAAGGGGCCCATACAAAAACTGGTGTCGTGAAACCGAACGCAAACGAGGCAGAAAAAAAAGGTGATAAGTAATGGTAGAGATAGAAATGGTACAAACATTCTTCCATTTCTTAGCCCTGAATTTGTTTCTGCTGTGGTTGTCCCTTACACAAAATATCACAATAATGCTGGTTTACGGGCAAGTCTTGACCCCAGGCGGATCTCAAACCCGCACCTCATACCTTCCGAGCACTGCTGCGCTATCCTTTATGCCACCGGAGCCGCTCCTACTATATCATACCAAAGCTAATTCGTTTCTGCGTTCACTTGTTCAGCTCCTTGTGGAAAGAAGACATAAAACTTGCAATAAAGAGGAACAAACAAACCTGCTGCCGGCCAAGAATCACATCGCTTTTACTACGAGCGGCTAAGGCACTGACGACATTGAGCGCTTCGCTGGGATCGATATACCGTCTATTTCCAAGATCCATACTTGCAAACAAATATCTCATTCTCTCCACAAGATCGGCCTCCGTGATATCGGCTTTCTGAAATGAATCGTTTTAAATTGGTAAACATAAAAATTAAGGGCCAATCTATAAAAAAAGCGCACATCTGTACACAGCTTACCTGCGCAGAATCTTCAACGGTGGATTCGACCTGTTTCGGATTGTACTCATAAACAACTCGACGAAAACGAGGTAGGTGAAATAGCAGCTGGGCGACCACGTTGAACCAGCAGGTGTTACCCGTATTGTGCAAACCAACCTAAAGTCACAATAATTTCAGGCGATTTTTGCAAAATTTCACTTGTTTTATAACGAAAAGAAAAAACTGCACAGCGATATGCAGAACTGAAGTAAAAATAGCACTCACCGAAACTCCTTCCTTCCTTAGCATATCTTCAGGATTTGCAGGTAAAGATGACACGTAAGACCGATTTCCCGGTGGTCCTTGCGATATTAGAGATTCAGCTATCGCCCTGGAAATGCTAGCGATTACTTCATATAGATAGATAGATAGATTAATAGATTAATACTGGAAGTACTAGTACAAACTTTTCGATGTCGCTTTGTTCCCGTTCAGCAGCAGAAGTTATAGCGGGCATGGGAGTAGATGTGGTCGCAGTCGGACCGCTACATGAAACGGGTGGCACATTTACAGCACCACCTTGCTGCTGCATTTCTGCAGCCGCCTCTTCAATTGTTTGCATCGGGCGGTTAGCACATCCCAAGGCCTTAAAATGAAGATTGTCCACTATAAGCTTGAAGCTTTCATAGTTCTAACATTTCATAGTTCCAATACATAACGAAGTATGATGCAATTCACGGACAAAGGAAAGACTTCGTTCAGAAAAGGGTTGAACACGTCCTAGTAGAAATGAACACCACGACCCAGTTCTCTTCCTCTGTTCTGAAAGGTATTTTAAGTGGTCCTAGAGGACTTAACAGGTGTTATGGTCAAAAACTGCGTCCATAGGTTCCAACTTCGGTCTTCTTGAAAACCGGGCATATGTGACAATATTTATATCTTATTATGCCAACCAGGTTGCTATTGGTGGAACTGCTTTATTTCTTGCGGATCGTCGTCTACTGAGGGTGGCTCATAGCCCTTGTTTGCAGCTTGCCGATTAGTGCCCCATCATAGAGGGCCGGCTGCAGCACATCCCAGCAGCTCCAAATGAGAAACCTTTCGGCGAATCTTATAGCTGATACGCGTCAAAGAACACCTTGTTCCTTCTGAGTCCCCATGGTAAGCACCACTTAGAACTACATGAAGGCAGAGATTTCGATATAATGTAACATTCTAGCCTAGGAGAACAAATCGGCATGGAAAGACTTTGGAAGCGTTTTATATCCGCGCGTGAAGGCCAAGGCTGAACAACCGAAAACCATTGCCATCACAAGTGATTTCTTGCCTTTAATTCCTTTGTACGGTCTGGGAAATCACCACGAGTTGCACGTATACGTCTAGGGGCCTGTAGTAAGTTCGCACCTTTTCCCTGTTGTTCAAGCTCGTGGAACGTAATTTTGAAGCTGGAAATCGCGCAAGTTTAGTTTCTTTGCCGAGAGATTTCTTTTTTGGCGCTCGTGGGAATGTGCCGTAACTAGTCTTAAGTATGCTGGGGGTGCTTGGATCAGATAGCGTTGCAGATCAAGACACTATGCAGTCAGATCTCAAGTCACTGCAAGAAGACAATCACTGCTCGAAACGCTGACCAGTATAAAAGCCGGACCCACTCAACAAACCATGTTCGAGGGCAACCCGATAACAAGATAGAAATCCACAGTCTGCCTCTAGAGTTACTCGATCGCGTGATTTTGGAATCGCGTGACTGCAACTAGCTTTCTTTGCAGCAAGTACTACACATACAAAACACAGGCCATGTCATGATTAATGAAGGCAACCCAGATGGGACAATACAATGCCACCATCCCCGATCACCGCCTTCGTGGGACTGCTACCTTCACTGGTCTTGGATTTGGAAGAGTCTCAAAAAATCCGTGGTATATGTTGTTCTTTAGACCTAACAACAATCAGCAAGAATTTGTTACAAGTAATAGCAAGGGTTCATCATGAGGACTGATTCCGTTAGGCAATTTCAGGATTCGCGGTGACGTCAACGCACTCTAGATCTCTTTAGTCGCAATAGCGCTCAAATCCTGTTACGCGGAACCAAGCATAGGAGAATCGATCGAATGCCTGTGTAGCGACAGAATATGGGAGGGAAACTGGAGGGTATGCATTGCCTAATCATGCGGGTCGGTACTCGAATCAGCACGACGCTATTGGCAGGCGCCAATTGAATCCCGTCTGCGGTTGCGTTCGCATCTATACGATTGTAGCGCTGCTGCCACTGTAGAGCGTAACAGCGTTTTAATGCGTGTCGTTGCCAAATTTGTACGCTGCATTAGCAGCCATATAGAGTCCCCTGGAACGCAAGTGAAGGAAGTGAATACATGGGGTAAGACCCACTTCATCAAATCAAAGTTAGAACATACGCTACAATAACAAAACGAATATGAACGAACTAAACCTTCATTGACCTAATCCTGGATTAATAAAAAAAAAATAGAGAGGATATATAGACGTACACCTACCGGACGAGGCGTCTGTGAACGCTGCTGCTCCTTTTCCGATGCGTGGTTTAGCTCATCCATGTAGATGCCCACCACTTCTTGCAAGTACTCTTCCTCATTACTGTTTTTTTGGCTTCTCAATCTCGGATGCTAAATAAAAAGACAGTTTCTCTGAGAAGGCTACATAATTTTCAACAGCTGAAATTTATGTACTATGGAATGGTTCCAGAGTGTAGCCGCATGCGCTACAAAACTACAAAAACAGAGCAGACAGATCGAAAGCCTGTATTTCGCGAAAAATCAAATCACTAAATAAAGAAATGAGTAACATCTTTACAGGGAATATGGGTATTTGAAATGGCAAGCTTCGTGAAGGCAAAGAGGGAAATGGCCGTAAAAAAAACTTTTTCTTGCAACAGAGAATAGCTTGGTCTCACTTTTTCAATATTATTATGCGGCCTTTCACCAAGATTAGTTAACGACCTGAAAAAAGGTACTTATAAAAACCCCTCCTAATAAAGGCTTCAATTTCGAGCGCAGGCAGCCAGAGCCGCACTGACTCTGATTGCGCTTCAAGCTAAAGCCTTGAATAGGGGAAGAGCGCGGTTGTTTGCTCCTTTCCCAAGAATATATTAGTGCCTGTAGGGCACATCCCTGCGATAAGGCTTTTGGCCAGTCGGTTAATCACCTTTCAATATCAATCATCAATAAACAGGGGAAAACACGAGACACAATCCAAATAAAGGAGAAAGTCTTCGTCGTGGATCAATCCCTTTCTGGTATGCCACGCGCATTCTACTTCCATTCAGAATCGTAGGTGGCTTATTGAATGTGGCCGATACAATGAGCTTGCGGAGGCCAGCCGCTGGACAAGTCAGTGTTTCTATCCTTCCACACATATCGGAGGCGATTTCGAATTTAATCTCCCGAACGTGCGGGTCGTAAGCGTAACACTTGCCACCACCAGGGTACAGCATCGTGATGTGTGAAGTAGTGGTGTCAGTACGACCCCCCCCCCCGAAAGGAGGTCCCGATACGACCCCCTCCCCCCCCCCTCTCTTCCAGCCCTCATTGATGGAGCCAACGAGAAGGATAGATACTTAACGCTGCTCGCAGGCCGAGCGATGCTATTGACACCGCCCGCACCGTCGACGGAGGCTTCTCGGTTAGCAGATAAATGAGGCCCTCAAAATCATCAAATAAAGACAATAAAGTAAAATCACTACCCCTAGGTGCTTGTACAAGACATATCCGGCCATCTCGATTTTGGTAGGTGAAAATGTAAACTATTACATGAATAAACTACATAATTATGATATAAACACCTAAATAATACAAAAGTAACAGTAAATTACATACAAATATTGTACAAGATTAATTCCCAGATTACCTGTATTATTGTGAAAAAGCTGGAACATCTACTATACTCTGCGCATACATTTCAAGGAAAGAGTTTTATACTAGATGGGTCATCCTCGCGCGAGGTTGATTAGCCACACAAAAGATCGACTCCTTCTGTGTAATTGTAAGGATACTCATTCGTGAACTTCAATATGCTTTCAAGACGCATATTCCCGTTGACCGGAGTCGAAGCATGATTTGGTTATCATCGATCGATTTGGTCCGTGCATTACGCTTCAATGCAGAGATGGTGGAAAGGTGTAACTTCTAATTTTAGGTGTTGTCCTTGCCAGCTAACGTTTGTTCGGGTGTGGAAACGATACGCACTAATCTGTTTGAGACGTATTACCTAGTCATCTAACTTAGAATTCATGCTAGCTATTGATACTGCTGATCAATTGTTTTGATATTTAGTAGTTTTCCTCACATCCGGGTCTTCTGGTTCCCGTCCGCTCCATCAAACTTAGCGATGACACTTTTACGCTGTTTGGTGCTCACCGACCCTGCTTTGCGACCCCCCCCCCTATCGGATCTACACAACGGTGCTGTACCTGTACCCTGGCCACCAACCACCTCCGCCTCATAAGCTAAATAGGATATCAAAAAAGGCGACAAGAAAACAGTGACATAGTCAATCGAAACGCAGAAATGGTTACAAAACCACACATAATTACAGGATTTCAAACTAGCTGCTGATAAAAGTATTATAACTTGAATACTTGAAATAAATAATGTATTTCTTCCCTCGCGGCGTTCGCGAGCTGAACTTCAAACACAGGTGCCCCTTGTACCCACGAAAATAGTATAGGAAAAATAATAGATGTGTACATGTACACATATTTAACTATTAATTTTCATGAGAAGGCGGCGGTATAATGGGAAGGTGCCCGAATATCACAATATGCGCTTTATACCCCAGAAAATAAGTTATGATCACATGTTTTTGTTACATGTTTATTTATGTCATATTCTGCGGTCAAATCCTCTCTGGAACGCGCCGCGCACTCCATTTCTAGATGATTATGTTAGATTCAATGAGCACATTTGTCAGTGTGTTGAAGGAACTAACCCGTATAGCTTTTAAGCAAAGGTCCTCATCAAAGTCTGATGATCCTAGAAACGATCGGATGTGCTCGATTGTGCACTGCTCCTCAGGAGTTGGACCTCCACCAGTCTAAATGACCGTTTTCACATTCTCATTAACTTGGAACAACTAATTAGACTTGTTCAGTAAATTGGTAAGGCTGCGTTCATACCGTGCGACGTAGTCGTCAACGTCGACGTAACCGACGTTTTCGACGACTAGTTCGCGAAGATTATATACCGACGTATCCGGACGAAACCGATGTTTTCTATGTCAGTCGATATGTATCTTATCTTCTGTCG